TGCCTCTGCAGAAGGCTGCAGAAGAGGAAACGTTGAAGCTGACTTGGCCTAGGACACACGGGGCAATCCGCATCTACTGACTCCACCTTTTGGAGCTGTGATAGCTGGCTAACCAGGAGAGCATCCATCCTCCTTTCTCAGTTCTCCCTCTGTTGTCCCTCCACATCTCTCTCCTTTGTTTTTCCAGGGGGAGCCTTTCCCCCAACTTATTCTTGATAGCCATTCTCTGCTGTTGGACCTGGAAGGATCCTATCAGGATAGAATCCACACCAGAAATCCGCTTTTACCTTTAAAGTTCCCAGTCTCAAAAGACAACAGTCCTCTTGAAACCTTTGCACCTCCACACACCTGATTAAATCTATGACCCCTTTTCTGTCTCCTAGTTGAGTCCTGATTACTTCAGCATGTGAAGTACTTCCAGCTCATGTGATCTAACCAACAGGTAGTCAGCTGTGTATCAGCATGGTGTTTGAAGGTATGTGATGATCATGCTCTTTGAACACTGTATTTTGGCAGAAGGAAGAATAGCCCAGAGAGAAGACAGTATGGATGGACTATAGAATTCTGCCACATAGAGGCAGGTGGCTTCTGTTCTTACTAATTAGAATAGAGGTGACAGCACCAGCCAGGTGAGTAGCTGCTAACACAGAGCCATACGTTGTGCTTCCCTGTTCATTAACACATGACAGCAGGTGCTGCTGCAATTTGTGTCTATGCAGGAGTAATGATCATCCGTGATTATTTTTAAGGTTCATCTGATTTCTGCACATTCCAACTTGGTGCATTTAATTAGCGCACGAGAGGTGCTTCTTTTAAGTCTTTTATGGTGTCCTTGATTTTTACGGTCTTGTGTAATACAACCATGCTTCTAGCTTACTCTCTTGGCAGGAAGGATAAGGACTCAAGCCTCAGAGATCACCTTTCCTACCACAGTGACTCTTATGTCCTTGATCAGAGAGCCAGGGTGGAATTATGCCATTTTCACAGTATGTCCATTGCAATTTTATGTTCCAGCATGTGGAACATAAAAATCAGTAGTTGAATGTGGTGGCACACGTTGGTCTGTAATCTCAACCCTGGAGGCTGAGACAAGAATATTGCTAGTTCTAGGCCAGTCTGGGCTACATAATAATATTATCTCTAGAAAAGAAAGGGAGGGACTGAGAGAGGAAGGAAGGAAAGAGAAATCAGGGGAATCTGTGGTTCAAGGGATGTATTTGAGGCAAGACTTCACCGTCCGACCACAGTTTGCCTTGACTGTGACTGGGGTGGTGCAGGACACAACAACATTAATTGTAAGTCCCTGAATATGGTATTAATTCAGAATGCACATTTAGCGTCTCCTGAAAAATCCAAGTTTCGCATTTTCTTCTGTGTTTTTACTACCTGGAAAGTGGCTGCAGAGAGTTTGTATGGGTGATTACAGAATATATACCTTAAGCAAAATGCAAGCTCCTTTCTCCAGAGAATCCTGTCTCTATGTTGATCAAGGGTCTCTAGAAGAGTGAACTGAGTTAGGTTTCGAATCTGGGTGAGGAGGTGATCCATCACGGGATCGGTCCATGGGCCTCGCCTGGAGAGGGGACGGAGATGGAGGGCTGGGCAAGAGAAAAGAGAGGGACACAAGGCAGGATTCCATTCAAGTCTCTGTTTATTCTTAAAATGGCTACAACTTATATAGGGTGGAGGCGGGCCAATGGGGCAGGAAGAGGGCATAGAGTGTTATCTGATAGGTCATCGTCACATTCGGATATATTACGTAAGCAGGAGAGGATTATGGGAGATGTAGGCTGAACCGGGAAGTTGCTCACGTCATGCGCACTGTAGGCAAGGGGAGGATCATGGGAAATGTAGGCTGACACACAAAATGCCCTCAGGTGGGAGGGGCAGGGCAGCCGCAGCCATTCTGAGCCGCTCCCTACAAGGAGGCGTGGTTCTCCACTTGGGTGATTCACATTACTTTGGCTATGAGATCTAGAGTTTTTCCTGTCTCAGAGATCAACGATTTTGTAGTAGGCATTATGGTTTAGACCTAAAATATGCCCCAGAAGTCTCATACATTTGCAAGGTAATCAGAGGATGGGGATGACGCAGTTGACTTGCAGAGAGGGAGTGGGGCCTGATGGTGGGGGGCACTGTGGGTGTGAGTGGAAGAGGGTTTTGCTGTTCCTGGGTGTGCCCTCCTCTGCTTCCTGGCTGCCATGAGTAACTGACCTCAGTGTAACATTTCACTGTGCGGTTTCTGGGCTGGAGCCTGCCAAATTTGGAATGAAACTCCTGGAAACTGGGAAGCAAATAAACCTCTCCTCCTTCAACTTCTGTGTCCTCCCACTCCACTTATTTGGAGAGATGTTATATAATATATGTATTATCCGTTTTTATTTGATTTGAGTACAGTATGAGAAATATAGATCACAATTCATTTTTCCACATGTAGACAACCAGAGTCCCCAGAGCCATTTGTTAAAGAAGCCATCCTTTATCCAGAATATATTATTTGTTCCTTATTTAAAAATCAGATAGCTAAATATGTTTGGGGTTGTTTCTCTGTCCTTTACTCTGTTCTAGTGATCAATGTGTCCACACCATGTTTTTGCCTTTGCTAGCTCTGTAATATAACTTGAAATCTGGGGTTGAATGCCTCTGACCTTGCTCTTGTTCCCCAGGATTGCTTTGGCTATTATGGATCTCTTTTGTTTCATATATATTTTAGAATTATTTTTTTCTAGTTTTATAAAAAAAAAAAAAGATGGGGAGAGAAACATGGTTGAATAAAGGAGCCAGCCACATTCAGAGCTTTTCAGATAAATTCAATTAAAAACACTGGCAATTGAAAGAAAAGGAGGGACATTATTCTGAAGCTAAACTCAATCTGAAATAAGACAGTCAGAGATCAAACAAAACATAGATATAGGGCTTAATAAAACAGCCATGCAGCCCACAGGGATGCTGGTGAGTAGCCTGACCACTGGCAGAACAGGACTGCCATACTAGGGAAGTTTGAACGGCGAAAAGTGGGAAAAATGAGCAGGCTAAAATAGTATGGCAAAATTAAGTCATACAAGATAGAGTGGGATATAAAAATTCAGTGGCTATAACTGATTCTTACAAAGTTGAGCCAGAGTTAAGTCTATACCGTTTCCCCAGAGCTAGGATTGGAATTTTAATATGGACTTGTTTTAGATCCTGTAAGAAAGATGTTTCAATATTGTTATATTGACAGAATTGACAGATACATACTGTGTACACAAGTTTGATAATTGCAAAAGCTCCCTGTTAGCCGCAATTAAAATGTTGAGTGTCACCTGACTTTTTTATCTACTTTAAAGAGGATAATACAGAATAACACCAATCAAATCAAACCAGTGTAAGAGATACAGGACTTCAAAACATTACCAAATCAACAATAGTTACCATAATGCCTTTTGATGTCTTCAAAATAGCTGCAGATAACTTCAGACATAGTAAAAATCAAACAGAACAGGATAGAAACAATAAAAACCAGACAACAAATGGAATCACAGACTTCAAAACAAGCCAGTAGCAAATCCAAAATTGCTACCTAATGTATCTTACTATCTTTGGAATAGCTGCTCCTGCCATCTGGATTTGATATAATCAAACAAAACAAAAGAGAATAAAACCCAACCCAACAAAACAATGGAAACGATATAGGACTTCCAAAACAAGCCTATAGGGAATCAACAATGGCTACAGCCCTCAGAAGGAGATTCCCCCAGATGCCACATGCGTACCGCTATCTTCTGAATGCAAAATCAGACCACTGGCCTAGACCTGCAATGTCAGGAAAATACCGAAGCACCACAGGCATCCAATTGCATTTCACCTCAATAGCTATCACCACAGCCTGTGTTTCTCTGGATAAGCTGGTCGCTTGGGGGATGGTTACTGCTTGTTTGCCAGCCCACGAACCAGAAAGAGCTGGTGTCTGACTGTTCCAGTCCGGCAGGGGTCCACGCACAGCACTGGTTCCCATGCTGGGTTTGCTCGCTGATGCATCCTTTGTTCGCCCCGCCCCTGGTCCACAAATTGTCACCTGATTTCAGAATATCACCTTCCTCATAAGTTGGATTTTACTGTTTAACAGAGATTCCTTGGGTAATGTCCTTAAGGGATTTCTGTGTGTATGAATCCAGAGCTTCTAAGTGCCATGTGTCATTCCCTAATCCCAAGGAGTGAATAAAAATGGATATCAGATAGTTACACCAGTGGAACCACTGTAGGTTCATTGTTACTGCAAAGGAAGGGTGCTAGCAAAGAGGACAAGAGTTTTTATGTGCCATCTTTTCATCTAAGGAACACCCAAGGTACACTCACCAATCCAGTCAAGAAGCAGCCAGTGTCATCTTGGTGCCCCAAGGCCGTTAGGTGCCATTTAGTGCAGTTCAACTTGTTCCAGGCCTTGAAAACCAGCCAGTAGTAAACCAACCTCCACTTATAAAATGACAATATGCTGACATTGGTCAGAAGTAGTTCAGCCCAAGTATTTGAAAACGCTGGCCCAGAAATAATAAAAAGTGATTGCATTGTTCCTAGCAAAGAGGAGCAACCTGACTAGATTGAGAATGAGCCGTGTATAATCACCTCATATTTTAAAATGCCCGTCCTGATATGGGTGATTAGTATTTCTGATCACAGCAATGATGACTCTTGTGGAAGAGAGACTTAACGTACCTTCAAAGAATGGCATCAGTTTCATCCTTTGAAAACTTTCCCCACATTCCCTTTTAACCCAAAGTTGACTTGATGGACCACTGGGATACGTATGAATGAGTGGGTTACATTAATATCATAGAGGTCCATATCGCTGTAATTTATTCCAGTCATTGCTCAGAAGTAGGGAAACCCCATCGCGGAAATCCTGTTGTGCTGAAAATGAGAAGTAGCTTTCATATACGGCAAGCATCCTGGCTGCGTTGATGAATCCAAACCAGAAAGGAATGGGACTTCCCTTTGGTGTCACAAACTAGAGACCAAAGCACAATTAAGCAAGAGAAATGGTAATTGAATTCCTTTTAATCAGATTTATAAAGCATCCTCTAGGCAATACAGGATGAGCCACATTTTTTGGAAGCACAAATGCGTAGGAGAATAATTAATTATCACAGCGGTTCTGATTGAGAGAGGACTACTCAAGGTAGATGCTGCCCTCTGTTGGATGGCGAGATGAGGTTGGTGGCAAACAGAAGTTACCAGAATGAGATAAGCTTTCGCTGAGGGCCTTGGTACAGTCAGTATCTTGTGGTAAGCACAGTTGTATGTAACCCAGTTGTTTTTAGCACACTCAGAAGTTTCAATTTGATGATAAATGGTATGATTTAGCTGCATTCGGTGGCAAAGAACAAAACAACTGCAAGTTTTATTAAACACAATGTCTGTACTTAACTAAGGAATTCTGGCTCACTACTTCTGTTTTTCCTCCAAGTCACTCCCTGCTGCTCTGCCAGGGGACTTCTGAATCTTCCTCTCCATCTCTTTTAGACAGCAGCTGTCTGCCCTGGGGCCAGTTAGGGATCAGGACAGATCCTTAACTAAAAAGTGTGCTCAGCTAGAAGAACAGTGTTCCTGAGCCCTTTTAACATCCACTGACCTGGCTTAATCGCATTCCAAGAACACTTAAGAGATTGTGGACTGTGTCAATGACTCAGATAGTCTGATATCACAATGGAACGATTCATAAGCAAAAAATGGAGGATCCTGGGGTTCTCATGGAAGCAGGACAGACTGCTAGACTAGACTACTCAGGTCAAATCCTATTACTTTACCATGGAGGAAAAGGCTGCTTCAAGGATGAGATGATTCACTCAGGTTGGGAAACAGAGTGCATGAAGCCTGAGGTGTACTTTGAGATCACAATGTTCGGTGAGATAAACTGAACATTCAAGCATAAACATGGCATAACTTTCAATATATTTGAAAACAATGATGACCATAGATATTGTGAAAATGAAAGGGAAAGAAAGTGCTCAAAAGGAAACAACAACTGGGACAGGAGAAAGGAGAAAAGAGAAAAGGGAAAATGTTATATGTGTGTAGTGTGTGTGTGTGTGTGTGTGTGTGTGTGTGTGTGCAAGACAGCTATACTAGTAATCTCTGTAAGTTCATCCAAAGAGTTTCTGCTCTCATTGTTTGATTCTTTGATCATTTTTTTCTGCCTAAATCTTGTAACCTGAACAACTACTTCTAAGATAACAATAAGCAGGGACCAGGAATTTAGCTCAGTGGCATAAGTGCCTGCTTGGCAAGTGTAAGGTCGTGAGTTTGATCCCCGGGTAAATCTTAATTTCCTACTTTTTAAAAAAAAATCTATATCATTTCTACCTCTTGTTTTTAAAAATAAGAAATAAAAAAATAAAAGTAAAAAAGAAAAATACAGGCTAGGTAATAGAAACAGCTAGATCATTTGAAAGTGGGAAGGTGATCTAGAGACTGATAGAGGTAGGTGGTGGGGAAGAAATGAAAAGATAATATACATCAGTAACGTGTAGCTTCTTGCTAAAACGAACTTAAAATATTAGGTACATATACTAATAAATACATGTACTCAAAAAATTCAATGCAAATAAAACAAAAATATGAATGTTAGGCCAGTCTGGGATCTCATACAGGAGTTGAGGGCTACAGTCAGGAGGCAAGTTTAATATGAAGTGCATGGGAAGCTGTTCAAAGTTTCTAATCAGAAAAGCAACAGGATTTGGTGTGAGTTAGAAATATAGTTCTGTGTGATAGTTGAAAACATTTTGTAAAAGAGTGAATGATGAATGATAATGCTTTAAAATTTTCTCAACCTGTTTACCTCCCTTCTAATACAAATACTTTTTTAAAGAAATATCAGTGAAAACAATACATTTCAGTACAACAAAGAATTTCATAAGGAAATGACTAATGATTGTGGGATTATAGCATTAGCACAGAGTTCCAGTTTATGCTGGAGATCAAGGGAGCCTCCACTGCAACTCTTGACCAAATTAAATGAAGGAAAAGTGAGCTCATGGTGTCAAAGATGTCCTCATCCACAAAAGGAAGTCAGATGTTCTCATTCTAGATTAAAGTTTGTGATGGTTCCTTCACACAACCAGAAAGACGTATCATAAGGACACAGTCACAGAATACCGAACTTTTAGATATTTTGCAACAAATTAAAAATCAGTTAACATGTTCAACATCACTGGTCATTGGAGAAATGCAAACTAAAGCAATGTTTCTAGGACAAGACTGGACATTGTTAGTACTGAGTTTAGGTTTCCTTGAATATGTAGCTAGACAGTTGTTCGCTTCCTTCATGCCCTTATGATCCTTCATGCCCTGCCATGATAGATTCAGCATCTTCTTCCATAAAGAAACAAAAATCAGCAAAAGCCCTGTCTTGGGACTGTGACATCTTTGTTTCACATGACTCAGGGTTACACAGTTCCTATCAGGTAGCACTTTCATTTCCAAAGTTAATTCTTCTGTAGTGCTGAGGGTCAAATCTAGGGCATTTATATTTTAGGCCAGTTCTCTTACACAGAACAACACACACAGCCTTTCATATGCCATTTATGTAACTAACCACAGAATTCACAATATTCTGGGAGCATGGGAAAGAGAAAAACTTCTTATCAAATAACGGTACACATCCATGGAAGCCATCTTCCACATGGTACCAGTTCACTGGCACCCCCTGGTCTTCCAAGCGCTTCTTGTAAAGCAAAGCATCATCACGGAGGATGTCATGCTCACAGCTCACCAGGAAGGTCTCAGGAAGCTGACGGATTATCTCATCATCTGCCATAAGCAATGAATTTCTTACATCAAACCGAGTTTTGGTTTCCAGATAAGCAGACTCATTAAAAGGCCCAGGAAACTGAGGCTCTTGGTCTTTGTTTTTGAACCTGTTGGGGATGTTGTCAGAGCTGAGCCATTTCTTGTACTTCTTCCAGTTCTCAGGGGGTATACCAGCACCACTCCAAATGGCATTTTTCCAGGAGTAATCAATGGACAGATAGTCACACAAAAATGTCATGTATAACTCATGGGTGAGAAGTGGAACATTTCTCTTTTGACGAAAAGATGGTAACTGTAAATTCAATAACTGAACAGCTGGATAAATCAGAATTTGAGCCCGAGTCTGGGGAAGATCGGTTCTGCCCACCAAGGTCTGAGTAACCATGGCCACAGTTGATGCTCCCATGCTCTCCCCACAGATTATCACTTGGGAGGGTTCTACTCCATAGGTTCTCGAGTCCTTCAGGAAGTGGATGGTGGCATTTAAGCAGTCCTGGTAAATGGTAGGGTAATGGTAGTCAGGAGCCTTGCGGTACCTAAGAAGGAAACCGAGAACAAAGCATAGGTATACATAGGTGTGTTGCTGGTGTTTGAATGGCATCCTCTACCACCCTCTAGGAGAATAACCCGGTTACATCCTCAGAATGACCCTAAGAGGTAAAGAAGCTGTTATGGTTTGTGTTTGGATGTTCCCCCTACAAGCCTCATGCAGTCATGGAGGCAGCTAAATCTAGCATTTGTGATTGGTTCGTGGCCCAGTGTTGGGACTGGCTGTGTGAGTGCTGCACCTGCCCAGGGGTGTGGGAGCCAACACACAATGTAAAGGAAGGAACGAAGCATGCTTTTCCTTTTTGCCCTTTTGTGCTTGTTTCTGTTGGCCACCGTGAAAGGTTGCCTCTTAGCCACACCACCCTGCCTTGGGGCCAGCTGCTTATGGACTGAAATTTCCACAAAGAGTGAACTAAATAAACTTTTCTTTCCTTAATTTTGAACATCAGCTATTTTGTTTCAGCAACAAGAGAAAAGTAACAACACAGACACCTTGTGTATCTCCATAGGATTCAGCATCTCTCAGGTATCTCTGGCACCACACACTGTTGCCTCCAGCAGCTCCAAGTCCTTCCTCTGGCTAATTCAATCCACCAATTGTCCTATTAGAACTGCTCTAGTGACAGGTGCTCACCCACATCTTTGTGTGCTCCCTGTTCAAGGGATCTTCATTATTCCCACAGCCTTTGGATACTGAGCTCCAGTAATGAAATTTCAGACAAGACAGCAACTGATGGGAGTAGAACACTTAAGTATTGTAAAGATGCTTCTTTGGAAAAATCTCATCTAAGAGGACAGAGATTCTAAATTACTTCTTCATATCACACAGCTGTACTGTCTACCCAGTCTTGGGGCAGTCAGTTAAATGAGTTCCACTGGAGTGGGAAAACACAACAGAGTAATTCTTAATTTTTCTCAGTTGCTTAATCTGGTATGTTATGATTCTTTAGCGCAAAACCAACTTCCATGACCCCTCTACCCACAGGAAAATTCCCTCCTTGTTGTGGCTTATGTCTAGCAGTCCCCCCAAAGCCTCAGGTGGTCATAGGTGGGATTTTTGCAGAAGTGGCTAGATCTAGATTGTGTGATGCTGGAATGAATTCATGTTGTAATGCTGGGTCAGGGGCACAAGGAGTAAGACTGTGAGGCTACCCACCTAAGTAGTCTGGATAAGATATAAGGGGTAGAGAGAGCTATGGTCATGCCTTGTTTTTTTCTATCTTCTGCCCACCATGAACTGTTTCTCCTTTGCAATGCTTGTGTGCAGTGCCACCCTGCCTTGGAGACAGCTAGTTATGGACTGAAACTTCTACAAACTGTGACCTAAACTGATGTTTCTTCCCTTAACTTGTGGGTTTTGGGTATTTCATCTCAGCATTGAGAAAATTAACTAAGATACCCCTCAAAGAACCAGAGCCATATTTTTAGAAACTCTCCATATGATTTCAGCATAGCTGGCAGGTAGGTAAGTAGGTGTTATAGTTGATGCATTGTGTCAACTAGAGCAATTTAGAAGTTTAACTAAGAGACACAGCAGGGAGCAGGGTTCTTACTTTATAAATATCCTCATCCTGTGAAAGAGGAGGGCAAGGAGATTTTGTAAGTGCTACACCGGCCCTGGCGTGGGGCGTGGCCTGTGTACAATATAAAGGAGGAAAAGAGGCTCACCTCCCCGCTTTTGATCCGACTGCCTTTTCTGGCTGCCCCATGAAGTGTTGCCCTGGTGCCATGCTACCCTGTATTGGAGCCAGTACCCTGTATTGATGATGGACTGAAACCTCCCCAAACACTGAGCTGAATAAACCTTTCCTTCCTTAATCTTGGGTGCTGGATATTTTGTCCCAGCAATGAGAGATGAGTACCTTCAGAACCATCAGCACAACCATGGCTGGGCCTCGGCCAGGCCTCTCCACCGTTACCAACTTTCCCTGCCTTGAAGCTGCCCCAGCTGAGAGCAGGGTTACCCTGAACTTTAGACCCATCATCCCTTTTTTTCCCTTTTTACATCCTTTGGTTGTGATTCTGTGCATTCTTAAAAGGTGTATGTTTATTTAGTTTTTTACCTTTACTTTAAAAGGATCAAGTTTCAGGATGCAATGTCACACAAAAAAATCAATAGCATTCCTATACACCAATATTGAACACACTAAGAAAGAAATCAGGAAAACAATTTCACTCACAATAGCTTCAAAAACAGTAAATGCCTAAAAATCAACCTGAAAAAGGAGGTAAAATACCTCTATAATAAAAATTACAGAACTCTGAAGAAAATTACAGAGGACAATAGAAAATGGAAAGTATGCCTTGTTGTTGGATCAGCAGAATATTGTTAAAATGGCAACTTTACAAGAAGCCGTTTATATATCAAATGCAATTCCTACTAAAGTACAACAACATTCTCCACAGAACTATAAAAAATTAATCTAGAATTTATTCAGAATAGACAAAGCAGTCCTTAGCAAAAAGAACAAAGCAAGAGGCATCACAGTACTAAATATCAAGTTATACTACAAAGCTGTAGTAACAAAAACTGCATGGTACTGGCACAAAAATAGACACATAGACCAATGGAATAGATTAGAAGGTAAAAAAAAAAAAAAAATCCCGTGCACATTCAGCCATCTGATTTGTAGCAAAGAGACCAAAAATATACCTTGGAGAAAACATAACGTCTTTTAAGAAATGGTGTTGGGAAAACTGGTTATCCAAATGCAGAAGATTTTACTAGATCCATATCTCTTACTCAATGCTATAACCACACTAAAATGAATCGAGGACCTATATATAAAACAGAAACATCAAACTGATGAGAGATAACACCTGGGTGATTTTATGACCAGAACTCCAATGGCATAGGAAATAATATAAAGAATCAATGAATGGCATTGTGTCAAACTAAAGAGCACATAAGAAGCAATCAACAGAGTGAAAAGACAATGTACAGAGTGGGAAAGAATTTTACCAGCTACTCTTCTGATAAAGGATTAATATTTAGAGCATATAAAAACCAATGCTTGACCTCGAAAACCCAAAAGGTCCAATCAAAGCAAGGCAAATGAACTTAATATACAATTCTCAAAAAATAAAATTCACGGAAAAGGTGTGTATTGCCTTTTGCCATTAGGGAAATAAAAATCAAAACAACTCTTTTAGTCTATCTTATTCCAGGAGAAAGCCTACCATCAAGAACATAATAGCAACAAATGTTTGTGATACTGTACAGGAAGAAGGAACCCTCTCACAATGCTTCTAGGAATGTACACTACTGTAATCACTATGAAAATCAATGTGGAGGGCTGGGGATTTAGCTCAGTGGTGTCAGTGCCTGCCAGGCAAGCACAAGGTCCTGAGTTCAATTCCTGGTACAAAATAAATAAATAAATAAAACAAAGATTTCTCAAAAACTAAAAATAGAAATCCCATTTGATCCGCTATTCCTCTCCTGAATATATTGGTAAGAGGATTAAAGTCATCATACATACTAAGCCATACTTACTAAAATCACTACACATACATACCCTTGCTTACACCAATGCTATTCACAACAGCTAACCTCTGAAAACAGCCTACATGTCTGTCCACAGAGGAATGAAGAAAACCTGGTGTGTGTGTACACTGACCGTGGACTATTATTTAACCATAAAGAAGAGTCAATACAGTTTTCAGCAAAGTGGGTGGAACTTGAGACCATAAGGCTCTGTGAAAAAAGTCAGACACAGAAAGCTCAGTACCCCCTAAATAATAGACAAATGAGCAAAATTAAGGAGAAATGGTTAAAAAAAAACAGAAGGCACACTCTTTGAGATGGAAAAGGGGGTCAGGGGAAGGGAAGTCCAAGAGAAAAGGGGTCAAAATTATCAAGATAAATGCATGTGCCAACTCACTAAAAAAAAAGATTACTATTGTATATTGTAAATATATGCTGAAAAACTAAATTACGTTCAAACTAATTTTAAATTAAAGGTACCAAGCTTAATGTCTTGGAAACAACTAAATGCCCATCAACTGAGGAATGGATTTTTTAAAATGTGGTATTTTTATACAAAAGAGTACTACTCAGCTATAAAACAGGATAAACTGGAAACTCTTATGGGTAAATGGATACAACCTGAGACCATACTCAGAAGTGAAATAAATCTGACATACATGTGTAAAAATAGTATTGTCTCCCTGCTGATACTATTATGAGAACCTGAAACAACATATGGATATGTATATGTATATGAATAAGAAAATGGTTACGATAGTTATAGTACTGATTTCTCTGAGTTCATTGCAGAGAAAGGTTTGTGCTGATACTGTCTGGATGATGGAAGGCGATGTCTTGTGCTCTGGGTGAATGACTAGGGATGCCAATGCTCAGTGTATTACCATTGTCACCCACTGATTGACACATCTTGAATCCATAGCGTTTACTCCGTGGCCACATAACGCTCCAAGGCAGCTGGGGCCCTTGAGGAACAGTTCGCCCGCGTGGGGCTCATCTGTGCATTACCTTGCAACAGGAATCTTTCCAGGCTTGTGCTGCCTTGAAAGGCGCTGGGCCTCCTCGCAGACACATCTGCATGAGCATCTCTGGAGTCAGGGCCCTAATCATTCAAGAACCTCCCACCCCATTCTTTCCTTCCCCCATGGAAAAGGCAAGCACTATCTCAGGAAACTCACCCCACAGACAAGACCACAGAGTCGGTCTCCCGAGCCAGGTGATTGCACAGGCTGTGGTAAGAATCTGCAAGATAAAAACCAGGCCCAGTGCCACACATGAGCATCTGCCCACCCGCTGGCCTCAGGGGGAGGAGCTGCCACGTGGGCATAGGGTGATGTGCTATATGTTCCTACTTTGGCCACTTCAGAAGTGATTCGGGCAGACTCTGCCTAAGAAAGGCCAGATACATGACCCCAGTCTCATAAACATCCAGGATGGAGTTGACCTTGGGGCTCACTTTCTGCAATGTTCAATTTTACACTGAGGGAGTTGAGAGACAGGGAAGCTTGGGGATTTAAGCAAGTTAGGCATGCCTGCTGGGAATATTAAGAATATTGTGTATTCATAGAGTAGGGGTAATTTGTTATAAGTACTAAACAGATCATGTATCTGAAGTTCTAGAAGACAGATCCATTCACCTTAAGGGTCAGGGTGTGTGGCTGTAGTTCCAGCCTCAGGACAAGCCATGTGCCCCTCCAACTTCCCTTCCCATGTCCTGCTGTCAACACACGGAGACAGCGGGGAGCCTGTCCATGTCTTCTGCCAGGCTGACCCCAAGCTCTGTAATCAGGATCTGTGGATGGGGGCTCAGGCGTCAGCATCTTCTAAATCACAACAGGTCATTCCCATGTTCAGGGGAGCTCATGAGATGAGGGAATGGTCATCGGGGCTGGGGGAAGCAGTGAGGATGGAGCAGAAATGGAGACAGATGCATTAAGGGGTCAGCTGAGTCGGGGTCAGCACCTATGACAGCGTTCGGTACTAGGAAGTTCTGTTACACATTAGCTCATGGGAACTTTTAGAGTCCCAAAGCCTGGGACCACTCTACAGAGGGACTCAGCGAGCCTGGGAGAAGACTGCAGGACCTTAAAACTCTCAGGGAAGTTTAAAGGCAGCCAAGGCTGAGGCCTGTGCAGGCCATGACCTGAGCACCGCCGAAAACTGGTCCAGCTTCATTGCCTGCTCTGCCACCCTGGCTTCCTTCTTCCCCCAGGACCCAGGCTGCCTCTGCTTTAGAGCTCTGCCCTTGCTGCCATGCTGTTTAGGTTGAGCTGGGCTGGGTCAGAGTGGGACAGATGAGCATCCGCTGCAGGTGGATGCTGAGAGCCCCAGGACACCCAGCCTTCCAGAGAGATATTACAATGCACTATTTTAGGACATCAAAATTAACCCCAAAATATGCCATGATGAGCAAGAACATCAAAGTTATAAATAGGCTCTGACTTCCACTTGAATAAATCACTCACCCCGTTGACTCCCACTGGTGCATAAATTTTGATACTCTGCTCGTCATAGCTTTTGCATCTCTATTATTTTTTAATTTTTTGTGGCATGGAAGTCAATATAACTTGCCTTACTGACTAAGGGCTTTTACGCACCACACCAGGCTGTCTTAAGTTCCTTCCCTGGCTTAGAGAGCCCCACCCTGCTCTCTGTAGTCCTAGCTGCTCCTCATGGGCCCGGGCTTCAAGCCAGCCTTCTTGGAAACACTTGGTCTGATGAGAGTGACTCGGTGACAATGACTCCATGGTGTCACTTTCTATTTCAGTGAGTGGTCAAAATGAGAAACTATTGACTGAAGCTAATTCTCCTGCATAGTCCAGCTCTTTCACTGGCTGAGAAGCCCATGAGAGTAGACCCTGGGTCTTTCTTATTCTCTCCTGTGTCCCCTGGGCCTGCAAAGGGTCTAATGCTAAATGGGGGCTCAGTAAACCATTGCTGACCCATCGCTGGTTTTACCTTTAAACATAACCTCGTGCCTCAGCACAGGACGGAGAACCACGGGCAGTGATGGCGAAACTTTTAGAGCTTTCCATGGTAACAAACAGCCAGTGCAGCGCAAGCGCATTAGGCTCGCCACCACTGACCTAGGGCTTAACAGAAGGAAGACGATCCCGTGGAGCGGATCCCACAGATATTCACAGTTACTGTCTGAATAGAAAGGGCCCCACTGCCACAGCTCCAAATATAAAATGATGGCTGGCGATGGGCAGTTACTACCACCAGGGGGCAGTATGGACATAGTGTTTTTAAAGGAGTTTGTACAAGGGGAAAGGGGGCTGGGGTGGTTTTTTGGTGTTTGTTTGTTTGTTTGTTTGTTTGTTTGTTTGCACTGGAGATTGAATTTAGAACCTTTCCAGGCAGGCACTGTGCCACTGAGCTATATCCCCAGCCCAAAGGAAGCCTTTCTATGTGGACAAATTTCCATGTCAGTGTCCTTGTGCGGGCATCAGTTCATAGACCCTGGAAACCAGTGTCTTTTTGCAGCCATTCACTCATTCATTCACCTACTTTTATTCACATGCATTCATCCCTTCATCTAAACAGTAAACACAGGAGCCGGGGGCTGGGAACAAGACAATCCCAGTCTTTCCTGAATTCTTGAAGTTCTAACCCTCAGACGGTAAACAAGGATCAGGAAGACCAGCTCAGGTGATGACATGAGTCCAAGACACTGGACAAGGATGAGCTCAGGGGTGAGACAGGGCAGAGGCAGGGCAGAGGAAATCCTGAGATCTGATGTTGTAAGTACAGCCACTTTGTGGGGGCTGTTTGATCAGACCGGAGTAAAGGGGTCATCAGCCAAAGAAAGTCAGGGTGGGGTATCGACAGCCTGATGGCCCTGCAAGTGTAAAGGACAGCAGCTGCAGCAGAGGCAGGGCAGAAGACGGGCCACCCGGTTTGAGAGGGCGGGTTTGGGGCCCGCAGGAGAGGCTGAAGCACGGCATGGACAAGCCCCAACTTGTTTCGAAAGATCACTTTGTGAGCAGAGGCTAGATGTCGCAGTGAGAGGTGAAGAGGGGAGAACTTGTGGGATCTGGGGGTGAAGTGGCCCTGCAGAGTGAGTGGAGGGCAGTGCATGGGGAGGGGACAGGAGAGATGCAGACTGTGAATGGAAGGAAAATGAGGAGTCACCCTCAGGGCAGTGACCACCCCACTGAGACGCTGCTGTCCCCTACCAGGACCGAGACTGTCACATGATAGGAACCAGGGCCCATGGAGGTGGCCACTCATCAGCTGAAGTGAGCCCCAGCCCATGTCCCTGTGCTCCCCTGAAGAGACTCCCACTGCTGAGTATCTTGGACTCACTCCATAGCTTCTCCTTGGATCTTGGATGAAGCTCTGGTGTCCAAAGGCCCTTGCTTTCCCACGCCCCTGGGGAGCTCCTTACCCAAGCTGCCAAACATTCCACCTCCTCCGTGGTAGAAGACGACACCTCTCCGAGGGCTGCTGGATGCTGCCTTGGGCTGGAACAGCCTCACAGGGATTGTCCCAAAGCGCAGGTTGGTCACCACCACTCTGGGGTCCTTCTCTATTATGGTCATGCTGTCTTGTAGGAAGCGGACAAATCGAGGCATGGAACAAATTCTTAGCTTCTCCAGTGTGTTCCCCTATTGGACACAGAGGAGGAAGGTGGAGTGGAGAAGAGGTTAGGATCAGAAGGGCAGGTCTGCTGCAGTCACCATGTCTAAGGCGTCTGGTGCCTCCTGCTTGTAGTGGACTTTTTTGCATCTTGGTGGGCTCTGAGTTGTGTTCAGGTAAGGAGTGGGGTTTTCAAGTTTTCCAGCCATAAGGTCTTAAGTGAACAATGATGTTGCTATGATCTGAAAATGTGTCCCCTCCAGTGCTCATGAAATTTCACTGCCATTCCAACAATACTTAAAGATGCAGCTTTCCAAGGTTGTTAAGTAGTGGCCTCCTGAATAGATTCAGTCCACTGTAGACAGAGCAGGTGAGTTATACCTGGAATGATCTCCAGACCAAAAGATGAGTTTGGCCTATGTTTTTCTGTTTTGCAAGCACAGTTTAGGTTCCCTTGAGGCAGAAATGACACAAGGTGCCAAATCACCGCCCACTGCAGGTGCCATGCTCTTGTCCTTCACAACCTCTCTGCAAGCCAAGCTTATTTCCCTGGTTTATAAATTACCTGCTCTGTGGTGATGTTAGGTGTACCAAACACTTCTGTGGATGTGAATTTGCAGGGAGGCAAACAAATTTGGGCTGAGTAGAAAAAAAGACACTGAATTGAACAAAGTTTATTGTCAAAGGCATGTGGCCAGTGACCTCAACCTCTTGGGTTCTGTGCTAGCCTGTACCCTGCCCTAATTTGCAAATCTGTTGGGACACCTGTGTTAACATTCACCATTGCACACCCAGACACGTATGCTAAACCTACAAAACCTGCTGGAAGACATAGGAGTAGGCAGAGTTCATGAACAAAACATAAACCACACAGGAAATACTTCAAAGAACCAACAACAGGGATCTCATCTTATTAAAAAGTTTCTGCACTTCAAAAAAATCACCAACAAAGTGAAAAGAAAACCCACCAATGAGAAAGAATTTTAGCCAGCAACCTCTCAGACAAAGGACTTATGTCTAGAACATACTAAGAATTGAAAAACATCAAGCCCCCCCAAATTCAAAGATCCACTCCAAAAATGGGCATCTAAGATGAACACACATTTATCAGATGATGATATACAAATGGCAAATTACAGAGCTACTGTATAAAATCAGCATGGTACTGGAATAAAAACAGATCTGAAGATCACCGGAATAGATTAGAAGATACAGCTACAGCTACAACTACAAACACACTCAGCCACTTCCTCTTTGATAAAGGGGCCAAACACATTCACTGGAAGAAAAATAGTCTCTTTAATAAATGGTGCTGGAAAAATTGGCTCTCCATATGCCAAAAACTATAACTAGACCCATGCCTATCACCCTGTACTACACTAAAGTCTAAAGGGATCAAAGATCTAAATATCAAAACATAAATACTAAATCTGTTGGAAGACAAAGTAGGTAAAAACCTTGAAGACATAGGGGTAGGTAGAGAATTCATGAACAAAAATCAAACCACACAGGAAATACTTCCCAGAATCAATAACTGGGGTCACATCTTATTAAACAATTTCTGCATGTCAAGAGAAATCTCCAGAATAGTGAAAAGAAAACCCACAAACTGGAAAAAAATTTTAGTGAACTGTCCCTCAGACAAAGGACTTCTGTCTAGAACATACAAAGAATTTTTTAAAAATCAGACCCCTGAAACTCAAAGACCCAATCCAAAACTGGGCATCTGAGATGAATACACAGTTCTCAGATGAAGAAATACAAATGGAAAATACACGGAAAAATGTTCATCATCATTGGTCATTAGAGAAATGCAAATTAAAACCACACTGAGATTCCATCTCACTCCAGAAAGAATGGCCAGGATCAAGAAAACTACCAACAACAAATGCTGGAGAGGCAGTGGGAAAAAAGGAACCCTCCTGCACTGTTGATGGGAGTATAGACTGGTGCAACCATTGTGGAGGTCAGTCTAGAGATTCCTCAAAAAGCTGGTATTGGAAGTCCCATTTGACCCAACTATTTCACTTCTGGACATATTCCCAGAGGAACTGAAAACATCACACCACAGTGATATATGTGCACCCATGTTTATAACAGCACAATTTGTAATAGCCAGATCTTGCAAACAACCTAAATGCCCATCAACTGAGGAATGGATAAAGAAGATGTGGCATTTTTATACACTGGAGTACTACTCAGCTATAAAGAATGATTACATTGAAATATTTATAAATAAATGGATGCAACTTGAGACCATACTCATAAGTGAAATAAATCAAACTCACATTAGTAAATACCACATAGTCTCCCTAGTGTAAGAAATGATAAGAGTACGTAAGATACAAAATCCTCAACAAATACAGTGCAAGGATAAGAATCTGCTCAAAAGGGAAATAATAATATCTCAGGGGAAAGTAGGAAAAAGAAAAATGGAAAAAAAATATTTAAAATTGTATAAACATACTGAGTAGCTAAGATGACTATGCTACAATTTATATAAGTTCTTAGAACAAAAAGTTAACATTCATAGGATTGGAACAATTGTGCATGTTAGTGTCTGAGGATCTGAGGAACTCTTGAAGATCATTATGTAAAATTACAACCTAGTTATGCTCCTACCACCTTGTTTTGAAGGTCTATATTGTCATTGTTTTGGGCTCTTTGCTGTTGTTATTTATTTGTCTTTTTTGTTTCATGTTGTTCTAGTAACTTATTTTGTTTTGGTGTGTTTTTCCCTCTAATACAGAAAGAGGCTTATATATGTGTAGAACTTCTCCTAAACAGTTTATGGGAATCAGTTATATAATGCCATGATGAAATGAATAGCTACTTTGCAGAAAAAGAGACATTGTTATCCATTGCTGATTCTGTATTGTCATGCTGTGAAATCCAGTAATATTATTATTCTTTGTTCAGAGTGGTTTTAGTTTGTTTTGTATTATTAAATTTCAACATACATGAAGGTATGGACAGCCAATTTGAAGAGAACAAGAGACATTATGGAAGCCATTGCTGATTTTCCTGTTGTCTGGTTTTGAAGGCTGGTACTGCCTTCATTAGTGTGCTCTGATCAGTTTAATACTATTTTGTTTTGTATGAATTCATTGTGTGTGAAAATGTGGACTCCTATTTTAGAAGAAAACTGAGACACTACAGTAGTCATTGTAGATTCCCTGTTGTCTTGCTTTGAAATCTGTGTCACATTGTTTTCCTCTGATCTGCTTTGTTCTGTTTTGTTATGTTTAGTTTTGCCCTCTTTAAAATAAAAATAAACAAATGGCAAATAAATACATGAAGAAATATTCACCATCACTGCATCAAGAAATGCAAATTAAAACAGCACTGAGATTCCATCTCACTCCGGAAAGAATGGCTGCCATCAGGAAATCAACTGATAACAAATGTTGGCAAGGCTGCGGGGAAAAAGGAACCCTTCTTCACTGTTGGTGGGAGTGTAGACTGGTGCAATCACTATGGAGAATTCTCAGCAGACTAGGTTGGAAGTTCCATTCAATCCAGCTATTCTCCTCCTGGATATTTTCCCAGAAAAACTGACAAGGTCATATCACAGTGATATATGTGTACCCATGTTCATAGCAGCACTATTTGTAATAGTGAAATCTTGGAAACAATCGAGATGCCCATCAACCACAGAGTGGATGAAAAAAAGTGGTATTTTCCTACAATGGAATATTACTCAGCTATAAATGAGGATGAGACCTTTATAGGCAAATGGAGACAACTTGAGACTACCCTCATAACTGAAATAAATCAGACTCACATTTGTAAATATTGTATTGTCTCTCTAGTGTAATAGTAATAATAATAAAAAACTGAAAAAAACCTACAGTACGCCAGTGCTGTTCCAAGAGATTTGGGTTATTAAATTAAACTTCTCAAAGCCTCCCATCTCAAGTACAATTATCAGATTCCTTTTAAAGACAGGGAAACTAAAGCAAAACAAAGTCTACATGGCTTGCCCAGAGTGATTCAACAAGTAAGATACAGAATTTATGTTCTCAGTCAATGAATGAGAAAGAACTTGGGTTATGGAATCAAACACAGCAGAGCTCGAGTCTGAGCCCTACCACCAACTGAATGAAAGACCCCAGGCATTACCATCTCTGAGTTTCTAACGTCTTCATTTACAAAATGAGAAAAATGATGCCAATGAATGAGGCCAAAGATGAGATGGAGGTCAAATGCCACCAGCTATTAGAGTAATGCAAATTAAAACATCACCAAGATTCCATCTTACCCCAGTAAGAATGGCCATTACCAAGAAATCAAATAGTCACAAATGCTAGACACACTATAGGGGCAAAGGAATCATTCTACATCCTAGGTGGGAAGGTAAACTAGTAAAACCACTCTGGAAATCAGTGTGGCGATGCCTCAAATATCTGAAACTAGAAATTCCATTTGACCCAGCTTTTCCCCTTCTAAGTATCTTCTCTAAAGAATTAAAAAAGATAGCATATTACAGTGATACATGCAGATCCATGTGTATGGCAGTGCAATCATAATAGCCACATCTTGAAAGCAACTTTATGTCCATCAACAGATGAATGAATAAATAAAATGTGATATTTGCATACAGTGAAATAATATTATACAATAGAGAAAGATAAATAAGTCATTTATAGGAAAACAGATACACCTGAGATCATAATGTTACGAGAAATAAATGCTTAACTATCACATGATTTCTCTTACGTAAGAAACCCAAAGTATAAATAAGAAGCAAAACAAAAGACAGATAATAGAAGTAGAGAGGTAGATCTTAGAGTGAAAGGGGGCCAGGAGATGGAAAGAAGGGAGACCAGAGAGAGAAGGGGACGAAAAAGGGGAATTAAGATGTGTTATGTTTATTATATGTGATAGAATAAACAAAAATTTTTATAGGCAAAGAGATAATGTAGAAACCGTTGTTCGTTTTCCGTTAGCTGGTTCTAAATACCCTGTAATACTTTCATCCTCTTGAATGGTTTCACACTGTCTTGATATGTTTGAAGCCATAGTATAC